TCATCCTCCTGAATATTTGGAGGCCCGAAACGGATGGCACAAATTGATAAGATCCAGTATAGGCATGTGCTGAAAGGAGATAACGGTGTTTCCCCAAAAGTTGAGCTTGATCGAGCAGGGGGGTGAGTACCAGGATTGACAGGTGCCTGCACCAAGCGTATTAACAACCACAAACATAAAAATTAATAGTACCGTCACTGTTGAGGGAACTGAATAAACACCTACCGGATATGGATTCCAACTTGGAACACCTGGGGAAAGCAGCAAAAGACCATATGGGCCTTGCACATACGAGCCTGGCCTCATGGGAGGCCTTGCCATTACAGCTCCATATTGTTGAGAGGAAGAACCAGATGGTGACTGCACCGTGGAAAACACAGTTGGAGCGGGAACTGGTGTAGGCACAGTGCAACTTGTGGAGCTGGAGATGGTGCTGGAACCTGCATAGCCGGCAGAGCAGGATGATGGAATTTACATGTTACACCAAATTTACACTGCCCCGTCTTCGTATAGTAAGAGCACTCCTTTTCACCCTGTTCTACAGATTGATCAATTATCACGTACTTAACAGTACGAATCTAAAGTTCATGTCAACAAAGTGATACAAACCGGGCGTAATGGATATCCAAAATAATTCAATGGCACAGAGCTGCCTCCCAGCGTGGGATGATGATATTTACAGGAAGCACCAAATTTGCATGCCCCAGTCCTCATAAAATACTGTAAATCAATAAAAACGAAAGCCATAAAAAAAACTTATAGTTTTTCCTAAATAGTAAAAACAAGACCAAAATTCTATCCTTATTTAACTTACCCTTTTTCTCCAAGAATTAGGCCACGCACATTATTGAAATTGTACTATTTCAGCATACATATCTCGAATTTGTCGAACATTTAAGAAACAAACTAAACAAAATTCCTGACAAACTGGCTGGCCTGCTCTCTCCAGATACTCTCCAGCACCGCCACTTCCAGCTCCCATAACCTAAGGCAATCGTCATCATCACGTTTATTTCACCAAACAAAGCATAGGATCGTCAAAGTTCTACCAAAATACCGATTCCCAATTACACTATTGCACTCACAGAAAAGAAAACTTAGCAGCATTTTAACCCCAAATTTCGAAACACCTTCAAGCCATAGACCATGATGGCATGATCGAACAAAAACAACCACGAGAACATAGAATAATTCGATAAAATCAACTGTATTACCCCAGCACGATCACGCGGATGATTGAACGGACACTTAGAACCATAACCACAAAACCCAGTCCTCAAATAGTAAATACAATCAGCTCCGTCGGGACTCTCCGGGTATGAATCCAACCCGCCCTCTAATTCCAACTGCCTAATCAGCTCTACATCTCAAACGGAAACAACAATGAAATCGCACATTACAAATAAACAAACAAACAAATCCAAAAACGAAAATTTCACGAGTACTCTTTAACTTCGTGCTCCGTTTCGGGTCCCGGAGCAGTCCGTTCCGGATGAGCATCGGACTCTGGGTCCCGCTCCATCAAACGCACGAACAAAAACCCCAATCCCCAAATAGCTTAAACTGTAATCCGATCAAATGGCTATGCATTTCTTCTTTTCTATATAGAAAACGGAAAAAAAGACAGCGAAAAAAAACCAAAAAAACGAGAGAGAAAACCAGAAACTTCCTATGTCTCACTTCTCTTCTTCCTTCCACAAACAAGAGAAAAAAACACTGCTTCCTCTGCTGCTCTATTGGAGTTTCGTTTGTTTAGATTGGTGCATGTCCAAATTTCCTCACTTTCTCTCTCAACTCCGGATTTTTTGAGTAATTTGCCGTTTGTTTGATCTCCTCTCTCTCCTTTTTGGTTTTTTTAATAGGTCGGTGGTTTATATACGCGCCAAGTAGGAGGGGAGAAGGTAATATAATGAAGTTAAGGGTAAACTACATTAATGGCCATTGACTTTTAAAAAGGTTTTTATTTCCCCACTAAAATTTTAAAAGAAATAAATTAATTATTAATGCTATCGACTTATAACAAAATAATATCTCTATCGTCATTCCATTAAATTGATAATGTAACAACATTAACGAAAAAAGTAATATTTATTTTTACTCTTAAATCATTATTAAAATATTAAATAATTAATTAAATAATAATTTTATATCTAATTTAATTTTTTTATTATCTATCCGTATTTCATTTACTCATGTGTTTCTATTTTAATCATCTAACTATTAATTTTAACAAAACCATGTTTTTGTTTTGATACATGCTATTTGGATTTGACCATTGACAAAAATTATTACATAATGTGATAAAATAATAATTTAAGTAAACTACGTATTTGTATCTAAACTATTAATTTTAATCTATTTTAGCATTTAATTTTTTCCCCTAAAATCATATCTAGCGTTTATTGTTTCATTTTAATGCCCTATCACTAAAAACTTAACACATCTAGTACCTAAACTATCAATTTAATTTATTTTAGTACCTAAACTTTCAAAAAAAATTCAAACTTAATGTTAACTTCTAAATTGAGTATTAAAATAAAACAAAAACTAAATTTCAGATATGGTTTTAAAAAAATCTGAAAGTTTAAGTACTAAAACAAATTAAAACTGATTTAATTATGTACTAAATGCATAATTTATCCTAATAATTTTTTATTTTAATCTTCAAATTTTATATAATCCAATGAATATAATAGTTAACCCAAACAGAAAAAGGTTAATAGTTGGACGACTAAACCGACAGTTTACCCAAGAATCTAACATAAATCAAATCTTCATTTGGTCCTCTCAGTTTTCGGATTAATGATAAGCCATAAAATCCTGGTTGCATTCTCAAAGGCCGTTCCTAATATTCAACAAACTTACAAGCAGAACGAAGCTTTAAAGTGTCACATTTCTCCCCTTTTTGGTGGCAACAAAACAAACCAGCATCAAACCGAAGTCATGAAATGTGCTTTTTGCAGTAACATGAAACCGGATACTAGATGGTCTGCTGCTGCACCGGACCGTATTATGGGATTGATAAACAAATTTTCCTCAGTTGGTTTCAGAATTTTACAACTTGACCAAACCTGGCTCTTACTGTACAAGCATCTCAGGTCCTGGTCTCATCAGATACCATCTTATTATGCTTATATGCCACATTCACTGCAAAACGGCCTCGTCTAGCAGTTTCTAGCTATTTGCAGCATCGAAATGGTCACCGCTTCATCAGGATAATTACTATTTCCCGCATCACGCCAAGTACTTGAACATATTGGGGTTATCTTTGTCTCTCTCGAGATAGTCTCGAGTAATTAGGTCCTCGATTCGCTTCTTGATCGCCTTGAAATCGGGCTGCAATTGTCAAAAGTTCTTTTTATCAGCACAACCATGGAAAGCAAGAAAGTAACAGCACACACCTGTGAAAATGGTTTACAATAGGAGAAGAGTAGTGACAAACCTTGAACATGCGACCTAGCTGCTCGACACACTCCATAACCAACTGCTGGTGACCTAGAACTTTCCGACTCTTCATGATGCGCACAATTGAGGCATCAATGGCATACCGTCTATCTTTGTCAACATCTTCAATTACTTTCTTCTTCTCATCCACAGGGGGGAGAGGGATCTGATTGATAAGCAACGAAATGCATTAGAAAATATTATTTATTCAAAAGGAGAGTAAATCGGAATGTTGGTTGGTTTATTTGTTCAAAAGTACCTTGATCCTCCTCATTTTGTCAGTAAACTTGGAGTTGAACTCAAAATGATCAGTGGGAGTGATGGTTTTTGTGCTTGGTTCCTTGTTCAGAATTTTATACTTAGCACATGACAACGAATGCAGAAGTCTGACAACATCGTCATCGGTCAAGTTCAACTGTGTCATGATCTCCGAATAGCTCAGTCTATCAGAGGAATTGAACAGAAGTAAGGCCGACGCCTAAAGACCATGAAGACTTGGTGTCAATAAAAATGATTCTTCAACTCCACTTGGCTATTTTAGAATAATGAGGAAAAAAACAAAAAAATAAGACTAAAAAACTTTTCCGGTCATATTACCTGATACGTCGTGACAATCAACTCCATCGTTTTTGGTTCAAACTTCCCAATAAGGTTACAAGTACCCAAGGAATATATCCAAGTAAGTTTCCTGTGTTTGGTTTTTGTCTGATAGAAGTCCCTGAAAACTTCAACACACTTAATCTAAAGAGGTTTTTTGTTGGGAAAGATGGAAGAGAGAAGAAAGAAAATCTAAGTTAGCGCCTTTCAGTAAATTTGCAAGTAGCAAAATGAAAAAAAAAAAAAAGAATGAAAAATGAAATGTTTGTGACATTTATGTGCATACCATCTCAGCGGGAAGGTTGAGATCAAAAGACTTGTAACTTGGCCAGAAGCCGGTAGTCAAAACAGTTACGGTCAAATCGATCCCCGGATTTGCATTTGGATTATTGTTCAAGTACTCCTCAAAATTTGCCTGGTTTTCCCTAGCCAATGTCAAGTCTGTCACCTAAAGAACAGAGAAGCATTTCAAAAATTATCTATTTGAGGCGTTCAGAAAAATTGGAAATGAGAATAGAAGGCGGATTTCAGTGCACAATTTTAATAATGGAAACAGACCATTCCCTCCATCTTGGAGGTGAACTGGCCGCCACACTGCTGTTTCAGCTTTGTCAATATACTTCTCTCATGGTCATCATTAGCACTCTTGTCAAAAAGAAGCCTCCGAGCAAGCTTTTTCCTGCCAATAATAATTCACAAAAACAAAATTAGCTGAATATTCTCAGTCCAAATGAATTCTATATTCGAATAAAGCACAACATGTACCTGTAAAATTCCGCAAACAAGTCCTTGTCACTAATATAAGCAAGTAGCTTCACTACCTAAAGAGTTCACAACAACAAGATTATATGGTATAAGCCGTAACAGGTCCTAAAATGTAGATAGAACACAGAAAAGGGAGCAAAAAACCTTTTCAAGTGTTTCTTCGATAGCTTCATCGCTCAACTTCTCACTTCCCCCTTTCTTGAGAATATTATCACAAAAGGTGGCAAGTAGCTCTGCACTTGAGCTTCCGGCAACACCCTTGTTGCAAAAAACTTCAAAAGCCTCTTTGAGAGCCTACGGAAAATAGACGGAATTGAGAACATAAAACAAAACATATGACCTACCTTGAAATTTAATCTTCAAAACACTATTTATTGCAGACCTTGTGAAAGAGCGTGTGATTTTGAAAACAATCATTCACGTATGCTAGGTATTTGTCATGCAGCTCAATCACTTTCCTCACAAAAACCTGAAAGCCACAATCAAAATCAATTTCCAAACTTCGAAACAGTCTAGTGGAATGAAGAAGTGAATATTTTACCTGCTCTTGCAGTCCAACTACATCCCTTTTATCTGCCTATTTAAGGTAGAAAACATTTTGGTATGATTAGATATAAACTTATATGATATCAAATACAAATTCTACTCTTTTAAAAAAATGGAACTTTAAAAGATGATGCAAGAAAGATACGAACCTTTTTGGTGCTTGCAGCATCCTCGGCCTGTTTGACCAATGCTGTGCCTTCAGCAGTAACATGCTGGAGCAGGAAATAATACGTAAAGGATTATGGAACAATGAACGAAAAATCCAAGTGAAAGTAATTCAAGGTATGATATATCTGAGATGGCTGTTAACTTGAGTCATCAATAAACAATAGAGTAATAAATTAATCAGTGGGCAAGCTATGAAATAGTTGACCTGTTTGAAGATGCTTGACACGGGATCTAACCCTCGAGGAATTTTCGAAAAGAGTCTAAACATTCTTGACAAATCCTCCACCTAAAAGTTAAAGAGAGATGAGAAATGGTTGACCAGCCAATATATTGAGCAACAAAAAAACAACTTATGAATGCAGCAAGCACCTTGTCATCCCTGAGCAATGCATGGCATCCAGAGTGCTCTTTATCAAGCAGTCGGTTTGCCCAGACAGAGAGCAATTCATGTTGAACTTTCTATAAAAGATAAAGAAAGCAATAACAAACAACATTTCAGAAAAAGATTTAGAATAACCTTCGAAGTGCAAGATTATTTCCAAAATGAAAGGGTAGATTTATATAGCACGAGCAAATACCAACCTCAAGTAGTTTTGGCTCACTACTAGAATGCAAGTAATTGGAGACCCTATCTTTCTCTCGTTTTAAACACTCCTCAGCCTGAAAAGAGAAGGCAAAATGAAATCATTAGACACTACCTAAGTGGACAAATTAAAAGAAAAAATATTCATATATAAAATGCATACTTTTAACATATAATCTGGACAAGAATCATCTACAATCCAATTTGCAGCTTTCCGTGAATAATAGGCAGCTGTATCTTTCAGCATAGTAGCCTCAAAGTCATTCTCATAAAAATCCATTTGCCCCATTCCAATTTCAACAAATATATCTAAAACATTCTTCAACAAAGCTCGATCGATCTGCTCACCCTCGCGTTCTTGATCAATCTGATTTAAAATTAGGAAGTTTATTACTGTTATTTGGCCGAAAAAAGAAAAAGTTGCACAATGAATGCGAAAAGAGAACTGGAATTACCAGAGAAATTACTGCATCCCTCACTTTTGCATTTAGCTCTTGGTAGACCTTATACCAGAGAAAATGTGCATATAAGATGCCAGCAACATACATGGAAGTATAAAGTTAGTATCATAGCAAATACATTCAATCTGCACGTACCAGTTCTTGGAAACATGTGAGTCCAACTTCACTAAGGGGAGGCAGTGACCTCCGAGCAATAAAGTAGCGATCAAGGTAATGGAAGAACCGTGAAAGCCATCTAACCATAACTTTATGGTTAGTCCACCTTTTCACCAGCTCTCTCAACATAAATTCATCATGCTTTTCACGTAAAGATGGAAGTACCTATAAAGGAAATATTTCATGAATCGAATCAATAAAGAACAAAAAAATTAGAAGAGATAGCACAATCAAAATGATGCTCGACAGGAACAACAGTATATATAAATGAAAATCTATTATACCTTTCAACAACATGACATGCATAGCTACAATGATTTCACTACCATCAACAGCTTCTCTAAATCCTACAACTAATGCAAATACGAAAAGCAATCATATACTTTTTTCAGATCATTAAAATAAAAGTAACCAATTGGTCTTCCTTAAAGACGGGTTTGCAGTGAGGAGTTGTGAGGCACTTTCTACAGTACTGAGAAATGCATAAGAAGAGCTTATCGCTTCTAAACAAATGAGATAATGAGGCATTTGATTCCTCTGATGCAAAAAAAAAAAAAAATACTGGCTAGCTTATGTATAACATAACCAATATACTAATGAGAGTATGATCCTCAAAATATATGAAAATACTTGAAAAATATTATGCATACCCATTTCGGAAACATACCCAAATCCAACACTCATGCGTAAGTTGGGATAACATAAAGCACATTATCACTAAGTTAATGATACCAAGAGAAACAACAGTCAACAAATATAACCATAAGGCACATTATCACTAAGTCCAAAAATAATCTAAACAACTTATTAAGTAAAATAATAACAGCAAGCATCAGTTACCGATGATGTGATGTAATCTTCGAAAGATTCTCGATATTTTTCATACAACTGTTGGGAATAGTCGTGAGGAGGCTTTTGGGTACACATATTGTAAATTGTTCTACACAACAAGGGTCAAGGACACCAACAAAACAGTCACAACACATGAAAACAGTAATGTTCCCAATAATTCCCATGAAGGAAAAAAAACCAATAACACAAAACAGCTACAAATAGGATACGTGTAAAGCATCATATAATCCTCTGAGCTAAACTGAGGCTCCGGCAAGCCTTCAAGAATGTTCTTTAGCTTTGTGATTCCTTTTTGCATAAATTCCCATCCCTGTTCAAGGTCGATCGTCTTCCTCTCGTTCATTGCCATTGAGCCACGTCACCTCCTGAATTATCAGAACCCTAACCTGAAACATCAAAGATTCAAATAGCATACTTAATCAGCTCACATTCTAGCTCAAAAAACCAACTTCCGTAACCTTTAGCTCAGTTAACAAAACCCACAAATTAAAAAAGGTCCATCCATAAAACAACTCAAAAATCTGGACTTTAAGCGCCAGTGCTGCTACTTGATACAATACCAACATTTTCTCAGCTACCACACAGGAAAATTAACATTTTTCGGAAACCCTTTCTAAAATTGAAGTCAATCGATTCAATCTAAGCTCCACAAAACGAAAAATTCATCAAATTGAAATGGAAAAAATCCATGAGAAATCGAGAGATAATCAGGAGAGAAAGAGATCTGTAGATTCACTAAATAGTATAAATAAATAAACAAATACTGACTAAAAAGACCTGAGAAACCAGAGAGAGATCAAAATATCTGCTAAAGGGGATGAAGATTGACAGCCGACTACCGACAGATCATTGAAGAAGGAAATTGATGGGTTTTTTTGTCGCTAAAAGATCCTTTCGGGTTTCGGATCCGTTTTCTTTCGTTGTTATAAGAGTTTTTCCCTTATTTTTATTGTTCACTTTTAATTTTAGGGTAAACTACGTCAGTGGTCACTATTTTAGAGTTTTTATCACTGATATTTAAAGTCACAAATCTATCACTAATATTATCATTTGTTACAAAATGATCTCTTTCAACGTTAATCGTCATTAACAAATCGTTACAACAGTAATAAAATAGTGACGTGACTTGTTACACCAGCTGACTCAATATATTTAACCAGCCATTTGACTCTTCTTCTTTTAAACCGTTAGTGATTTGCTGGTAAGCATAGTTACCGAAACATCATTCTAAAATGGGATATTGCTGCTAAACATGACTACTCAAACATCATCTAGTGATTTTGTTTACAAAATTAAGTTAAACAAAATTTCCAATCAAAGAAAAATCTCGAGGGTGAAGAAGACCTGAGGGCATCGATCTGCGAACACAAATCGACGATGTGTTGATCTTTCTCGGCGAGCTGGTGTTTAAGAGAAGAAGACTCGGCTTCGTTTGAAGAAACGCAAGTGGAGAGAGCAATGGAGGTTATATTACGGGCCACATCGAGTTGATCGAAAGGATCAGAGGATAATACTTGAAACACTTCCTCGGGAAGATCCAAAGTCGAGCCACCCGATTCTTTCGCCAACATTATTTTTTTGTTCTAGATCATCAATATTCTATTGGCTTCCTTTTTGTTTCGCTTTTTTTTCTCTTTATATTATATGAAAAAGGTAATAGGATTAGATAAATGGTATAGATGGGTGGGATTCGATTTCGGACACGGGGGTGAGAGAATTGAGAATGTCAGACCTTGTTGGGTGTTCCATAATACATTTGTTTTTCCCTTTCAGACAAAACAACGAACATTTGCCCTGCATATGGATGCGCAAAGCACAGAGAGTGCCTACCCTAGTGTTTTCATTTTACCTGATTTCTATCCTTTTTGGTAAAGAATCATACACGGGTTTTGTTGGTCTTGAAATGGAGTCTAGAATCGGCCATTGGAGAAAGCTTTGAAGCTTTTTCTTGGGCTTATGTTGATATGCAATTTCTAGCCTCTTTGATGAATGAGCTCCAATGTTTGTGTTTGGTTTTAGTGTATAACTGTAGCTTTTTATCCCAATAGCATCTTTCTCACAAACGGAGCCGGATACAGCTTAGGGTTAAAGTGTTATTAATAATAAAAATAGGGATAATATTAAAATAAAGAGGATGTTGAAGAAGAAGAAGAAGTCAAACAGTCGGTCAAACTCAGCAAACAGTCAGTCAAACATGTTAAGTCAGTTGGTTTAACATGTCAAGTCAGCATTCCGTTACTATAGTAATGTTTGTTAACGGCTATTGACATCGAGTGACTATTTTGTAACAAACGACAATGTTAGTGATCGATTTGTGACTTTTCAAATGTTAGTGATAAAAACAAACACTAATCCAAACATTAATGACCATTGACGTATTTTACCCTTAATTTTAACATAATCATTAATGTTTACACTTTTAATTTTATCTATATTTTGGTAAATTATTTAAAATAATTGAAATAAAAAAATTGGGTATTAAATCAAATTTAACCTATAAAAAATATTTGACTCGATTTATCTAGTTATATTTAAGAATATTCATGGATTGAGTCGGATCAAATTTCTAACATTTTTTTATTCATCATCTGATTGGGTTCAAAATGACTTTACTATATCTAAAAAATGATCTGATTTTTAAATCATACACAACCGATCCAACATAATTGATTTTTATATATTTTAAAGTAAAAGGTCATGCAAATGATCCCCTAACTATAGAACGATACTCTATTGAGTTTCTCGACTATTAAGAGTTACAAAATGATCATTTGACTATATAATGTTGCTTTGTTGAGATGTGGCCTACTATTTTATATGTTTCAAATTTGTCATTTTTCATTAAAAAAAATTGATGGTCAATTGAGTTGGACGATGCTTTATTGATTTTCTCGACTATTAAAAGTTATAAAATGGTCATTTGACTAATGATATTGCTTTATTAAGTCTCTCGACTATTAAAGTTACAAAACGATTACCTGACTTTTCACATGTTCTAAAATTGTCTTTTTTCGTTAAAAAATTGATGACCAATTGAGTTGGGTGTTAATTTGTTGACCAATATATGATAGAATATTATCCCAAAATCTTAAACAACTATCATATCACAGTAAACATGTTAATGTCTAACTCATATTGACGTCAACTTTTTAACGAAAAATGACGAGTTTGAGACATTAAATAGTCGAGTCATTGTTTTGTAAATTTAATAGTCGAGAGACTCAAAAAAGTAACATCCTATAATCAAATGTTTAATAATCGATGGACTTAATAAAACATCATCCTATAATCAAATGTTTAATAATCGATGGACTTAATAAAATGTCATCCTATATTTAGAGGATCACTTGTTACCAAATAAAATTTCAATTAAGAAATATATCATAATAATTATCTCAAAATATATAAAAATCAATTATGTTATTACTTTCAGATCAAATGTTTTCACTTTAAACTCAAGCTTAACCCAACTCGACCTTATCTTATAAAAAAATCTCAACTCGACTCGATCGTTTCTTTTCTAACAACCCTATTAAATCAAAGGCTTAAACGTAAAAAAGGTACCCAATGTATGCTTTTTTTTTCTTCAGTTTAGTGTATAACGTTTTTTTATTTTAGTTTGGTGTCTAACGTTTCATTCCGTAACTCAATTTGGGTCAGGGCGTGACGAACCGTTAAGTGGCGCGTGCCACAACCTGGTAATTTTAAAATTTTTATTTAAAATTAAAAAATAAAATTATATATTTTTTTAAAAAACACACAACTTTTGAAATAAACCCAAAACTTTGAAAATCTTCATTTCAACCCCTAAACCTATGTCGACCATCATCTTTTTCCGTCAACGAAGCTCCACCCAACTTTCCCTCCCCTGACGACCAAAAACCCTATGAAATTATGACCTATCAACCGTCAAAATCACGTGGTATCGCGATTTTCATCATAGGATTCGCGGGGTATAAAAAGTTGATTCGTCATCGATCGGTCACAATTTCATGGGGGGTTTTGGTCAACGAGGGGAGGAGCGGTCGGGTGGAGCTTCGTTGACGGCAAAAGGCAATGGTTGGAATGGGTTTAAGAATTGAAATGAAGATTTTCAAGGTTTTGTATTTTTCATAATATGTTTTAAAAAAATATATATATAATTTTATTTTTTTAATTTTAAATAAAAATTTTAAAATTACTATGTTATGACATGTATCACTTAACGGCCAAACTCAACAGTCCGTTATGGTATGATCCAAACTAAATTACAGAATGAAACATTAAGCACCAAACTAAAAAAAAACCTACGTTAGACACATTTTTTACGTTTAAGCATAAATCAAATAATCATTCCTAATTGGATCAACTTCGAGTAATTCACGACATATAGCACACATGAGTTGGTCATGTTCACCATTGTATTAAAATATTTTTTCTTTGTAAAGTTTCATTCCCATAGAATAAAATTAAGAACAAAGAAATAAAAAGCATCGTGTTTTTCTTCAGGCAATACCACTAAGTACAGAAACCATGGTACGGATTTCTCCCCCTGTTCCTGTTTCATCCTTCCGACAAACCCTAAAACTTCCCGATACCAACTCGCCGAAGAAGATATCAAATGCTTACGCTTGACTGAACGATGATCCTTCTAAACCCCTCAGTACCGAAACAGCTCGTTCGTTGTATGTCACAACAATCTTACTTCTCCAATGGACTCGGACACTACTTGTTGTTGCAATCGAATCCGTGACAAACGGAAAGCCAGATTATAAGGATTAGAAGTATCAAGATTCCGAGAACCACCAACTTTATCTTCATGTTCTGATACCACATCTTCCGACGGATTTGTGTCCCTTGTTTCCTGTATGCCTGTGCCTGAAAAAGGCAAACGATGAAACCTGCTTCGAATCGACAGAGATGGACATAGATTACCGTAAAGCTTAACCGGGGGAAATGGAATTTACCTGATCACGTAGATTCTCGGTCTTGTCGGCAAGTGTCACTAGGTTTTCTCCTCTATCGATCGCCTGGAATACCGATTAGAAGGTCATATAAACTATATAAATGCAGCTTTTACCTCGAATTTCCTATTAGACCTGACCTTGATTCATTTGAACTATGAAAAACACATTCAAGCATCATCTTCAAGAAAATAAAAATGGGGTATCTTAGATCAGATAAAAACAGATCAAACCCTAATTAAATCAAATATCATCTAACAGATACAGATCATATTGCACGTAACTTTCACCGAGTCTTCAAATGTTAATTCCGGTAGTTAAATTAAATCGTCATTCACGTAACTTTAAATCTAATCACTTCATACTTCTCTAACTGCTATGTGATACCAGGTCTCCCAATATATTCGATAACCGATACCATTATCAACCTACAGTAAACCTTCATTTTAAAATATCTAGATCAGTGTCCTGTTCTCGTTCAGCATAAAACGAAAGCATCCTTTTGAAGTAAGCACCAGGATAATTATTGTCGCATTGTATGTATATATGAACCACATCCATTCACTTCAGAATTTCCAGTATTCCGACAATGTTTGTGCAAGTGCATGAACATGCAAAACATCGGGGAAAAAAGCAGTTAAGGAAGAGAATGCCGATGCACACTTACCTTGTCAATATTCTCCAACATTATACTTTTAACTTCCGAAACTTGGGCCTTCACCTTTATTAGCTTTTCGATTTCTTCAGCATGTTCGATGATATATTTCATGTGCTCTTTCATAATCGGCCTGCAAATTACATTGTATTGTTTTACAGGAAAAATATTTCCGAAAACCGAGAAAATGGAATTAAAAGATCAGATAATTTATCAATAACAAGGATGAACATACCCAAACTCCTTATTGAGACTTTTTGCAATAGCTGTATCTGCTTTTCCACCCCCGTATCTTTTCTTAAAGTCCGCTCTCAAACGTTCCAAAAAAGCAATAGAGATTTGCTTTCCCACGGAATCCTTTGCAACAACACAATAAACTGCATAGATCGAAAGGCATGCAGTCAAGAGCGTTGATCACTTAAGTGATAAAACAAGGAGACCCGAATGTAGATGACTGAGCGTTTACTAGCTTAGGCAGTAGCAAAACATAAAAGTTGCCAATTTTTTAGTTTAGCACAGGAAGTAATAGTTTCCATTCCTTCACTAGCCCAATCGGTATACTTTCATCAAAACTTTTTTAGAGTCTCGGTTAAGGGAGAAGGACCAAGAGATATTTGTGATCAAAGCTCAGCTCGGTACTGGTTTTGTAGCCTCAACCTTGTAACATATTGGGAAACAAATGATTAAAGGACGGCATTGACGAGATTTTTACTAACAGAGGCCGGCTCAAGGCCAGTCAATAACAACAGTGGAATGGTATGGATGAGAGAAGCTCTCATCGCTGAACCCCTCTCCTCCTCCCCACACCCCTTCTATCTAGTTAGTAGGTCATCCGCATTTTTGCTCCCAATCAATCAGCTAGGTTGGATATTCCTCAGGTCTAATGCGAAAATATAATAATATGTCCGATCAGAACATATATCGCCTAGACCTGTAGATTAGTCACTTCAATATCCGGTGAATCATCCAAATTGGAATATGCGTTAGCCTTTCATCATTTTCTTCCATTTTACAAGCTTCCTAGGGGCCAAATGTAATCATCATAGCAACAAGCAGACTATTCGAACGCGTTAGAATGCAAACTAGATGCAGCCGACTTCCGAATCAGATTTCTACAGCCAATTATATGCATAGAACAAACATGCATGGAGAACCTTATTCGCATAAACGATGACTTCCTCGAGTTCAATGAAAACTGAAATCATGCAATCAACTTTCCAATCTTGAACTTTCTTATAAACTACAACTACAAATTCAAATTTTGGAAATTCCCTAGAGGTTTGGAAACTTCATTCATATCAATTTCCCTAAATATATGATTTACTATTTCATCGACAATGATCAAACTATTAACCCAATCAAGAATTTATATCAAACTACTCAATTTCATATTCATACATCAAAATAGGAGTAAAACATTACACCCCATAATTTTTCCACAGTTTTCTCAGCAACCAAACAAAACAAAACACACACAAAAAGAGGAAACTAATCAATCCAACAAAAAGAAGCTGACTTTCCAATGATTCAACAAAAACCCACATCTCATTTCACACTCTTTTAGCTAGATCCAACCGCCTTATCCTCTAATTCAACGTTTTTAAAACCCAACCACCCAGTTTGTTTCTCGAGAAAAACAAAACAGCAGACAAAAGAAAAAAAAAAGAGATCAGAGCCCTGGTAAGTGGTGATTACCGTAACCATCTTCAACGAGAAAATTAAAGGTATGGTGATCACAATTGTAAGTAAATTTGTTGCTAGAAGAAGGGAGTTTTTGCAAGCACTGAGCCGCTATAGCTGGGAAATTCCCGGTGAACTCAGTGAACTCGGCCAAGATCATTGTTCCTCGAGCCACGAAGCTGTAAATAAACGGTTCTAAACTCATTTTAGTTTCTTCCTCTCTCTTTCGAGCTCAAACCGAGTTATCCCTACCGAGTTATCCCTACTGAGTTATCCCACGAGTTGGTCGGGGAGACAAGGACCGCGGCTCTTTTCTTACGTTAGTCTTTATTACTATATATTTAAGACAGCGTTTTGGTTGTGCCTTTGGAGGTAATGGTCAAATTTTCCATTAATTCCTGTACTATGTATAAATTGTGAATTAATCACAACAAGAAAAGTTATAATCTTAATCCTTGTAACCTAATTTGATCAATTTTACTATCTAAACTTTTCTAATTTTGAAATCCATTCATGATATAAACAATGTAAATATAATATAATTAAATTATATAAACTTAAATAATCAAATTGAAGGATACGAACAGAATCTATAATTTTTGTTTAATACAATATCTAGTAGTAAAATTTGAATTAAAAGAATCTATGAATAATATCTGAATAAAGACTAAATTTATAATTTATTCATATTACAAGGATTAAATCTATAATTACTTATAATACAAGGAAAAGCAAAGAATAAGTATTGGAGTGAAAGTTTGAAAAGAGTGTTCAGACAGTGATTCTGCCTTGGCGGCGATTTATTTATTTATTGGTTAAATTAAGTATTTAGTATTTAAATTATCAGTTTTAATCCTTAAATAGTACGTTTAATTTTTATTATATTTTAGTATCAGCCGTTAAAAATTTAACGCGTTTAGTATATAAATTATTAGTTTTGATCCGTTTTAGTACCTAAACTATCAGTTTTGATCCGTTTTAGTACCTAAATTATCAACTTTAAACGGGTACTAAAATGAAACTAAAACTAAAATTTTAATATCGAAATACTAAAATGAAACAAAAATTAAACTTTATGTATGATTTAAAAAAATATTAAATATTAAAACGGATCAGATAGTTTAAGCAATAAACACAATTTATTCTTATTTATTTTGTGGTAATTAATAAAATAGTTGCAAGTTGTATGTTCTTGGACCCACAATTTGATTTCTGGTCTGAAATATTGGAAAATATTGTTAGATTTTCTATTTAAAAAATAAAAATATGTTTGGTACCAGAAGAAAGAAGAGTCTAGAAAAAAAAAGATTGAGCTTGTATAATAATAATTCGAGGCAGGAAAAAAAAGATCGTAATTCGAAAATATAAGAGAGATCGAAATTGTTTATTGTAAAAAAAACAAAATAAAGGGAATTAAATCATAAATTTTAATGTAACAAAAATAAGGGTAAAGTACACAATAGCCCCTTAACTATAGGGTGTTGATTTGTTAAGTTTCTTGATTATTAAAATTTATAAAATAATCATCTGACTATAGGACGGTGTTTTGTTAGGTCTTTTGACTATTAAAATACAAAAGAACCGCCTAACTATTTATATGTTCTAAACTTTTCATTTTTCATTAAAAAATTGTCAGTTATCTTAACTAGACGTTAACATGATAACTGAAATATGATAGTCATTTGAGATTTTGTGATCAAATTTTATCATATCTCAGTTATCATGTTAATGCCTAACTTAGACTATCATAATTTTTAAAGGAAACATATGAGTTTCGAACATATGAATAGTCGGGTCATCATTTTATAACTTTTAATGGTGGAAAAACTCAATAAAACGATATCCTTGAGAGATTATTTTATAACTTTTAATAATTTAAGAATTCAACAAAACAATATCTTATAATCGAAAAAACGTTTTTGTACTTTACCATAAAAATATTTGGAATAATTCTATTCAAATTGGATAGACCTGATCAAACGATAACCAATCAATTATGTCAAAAGTCTATATTTTTAAGGATAAAATACATAAATAATCCATTAACTATAATATACTACTTAATTAGGTCCTTTAACTATTAAAAGTTACAAAATGATCATCTGACTATTCATTATATTCTAAACTCATAATTTTTCATTAAAAAATTGACGGCATTCTGAGTCGAACGTTAACATGCTAATTGTGATATGATAAAATATGATAACAGAATCTCAAATGACTATTATATATCAGTCATCATGTTAACGTCCAGATTAAACAACTGTCAATTTTCTAACGAAAAATGACTGGTTTGAAACATAATGAATAGTTAGATGATCATTTTATAACTTTGAATAGTAGAGCGACTTAATAAAGTAACATTTTATAGTTGGATGACTATTTTGTAACTTTTAATAGTTGAGAGACTTAATAAAGCAACACCCTATAATCAGAGGTCCATTTATGTACTTATTTTTTAATTTGGATTGTAACGTAAACTTTTTTTCATTCAAATAGATACAATCGTCAACAAAAAAAAATTAGTTGATCCTATTTCTATATGTAATGCGGTAAAGGGGATGTAGGGCAGTAGGCTGTCCCAACGTTAGGTTGAGAGTAACTTCCGTGGAAGACCTCCGACAGTCAGAATTATGAATTACCCACCGTAAAACTTGATCTTACGACTATAAAATTAAGAGCCTCGCGCTCTGCCAACTGAGTTAGATGGACAATATCATTAAAGGCGCTTAGAATTGATCGCTAATTGCTCAAGGCAACAACTTTCGACACACTTCGAGAATTTTAGAATCTATAATTATCAATGTTCCCTTTTGTCTCACTCTCATCTTAGTTGTCTATTAACTGGCTCTTTGTCGTCACACTTCATTATAATGCTTTTGATTTTATTACATGCTTTGTCTCATACAGATATTGTTAGAATTTTCATAAATTTCTTCATAAACCTTTTAACGTTATAGTAGAGTTGAGAGATAAAACTCATAATTAAATAATAAATATTAATGATATTTTTATTTAAATTAATATGCAATATATGTAGGGGTGACAAACGTATAGGATGAGTACGGATACTCCTTCCGTTTTCATATCCACCATTTACCCACCACCTACGTCGGGTAAAATTTTTAAATACATACCAGTCTACGTGAGTACATTCTCAAATCTACCACACACCAACTATCCAATAATTTTGGTCGATTAAATATCTACGTCAAGATATTCTTTTTAAATACACAATCGCCTACGCGAGTACATTTTCAATACGTTCCTTTTAAAATATGCGTCGATTAAAAATCGAGATTTCGTAAAAACGTTCGCTTGAATAATTTGATACTCAAATTTAAAAACAATAAAATTGGTCTGTGAAGTCGTCATCAATCTTTGATTAGGATATGATTGGACACCAAAAAACAAATTTATCATTTTAATAAAATATTAATTTTAATTAAAACAATAATTTTACGGTATGCGTTACCAAAAATTTGAGTTCGGGAGTCGGTTACACGTGGAAAAAGATTAGCATCCAACAACGTTCTAAATCGGTACCTAGTTAATTAATTAATTGTCCTTACAATAAAATTTATAAATTCGAATGTAATTTATTTTGAGATCTCATTTTAACACATACAAAATTAGACGAAAATTAAAAACATACATCAAACAAATATTACCATATACATAGAATATTACCATATGTTTACATTTAATATCTACTAAAACACAATGCAAACATCACTAAAAAATGTATACATATGTGTAAATATATAAAAAGTAAGAACCAAAATGAATGACCAACAAAAACATGGGGCCTAAACAACATATATTAATTATTTAAAAAAGATTAGACCATATCATGACAGAAATAACTAGGAACAAACTTTCAAAAAACCAAAGCACCAAAACAATGATTAAATAATAAAAAAACAATAACTTTAATATCAATATGCGAAAATCAAATAATACAGGGACAAAAACGATATTAGACACATAAAGTTAGATACAGGACTAAAATGAACAAGCCACGAAACTAAGAGACCAAACTAAGAAGTCAAAGAACCTTGATTCAAGGACCAGATTACATTAATGTTGAAACAACAGGAGTCTTTATAGTGATTATTTTACCCTTCTCATACTTAACCCTTCTCACAAAACACGCGGCACCAAGGATAAAACGGCATCGTTTTAAAGCAAGTACAAAGGCTCATTTTACCCTATTTTTTTTTTCCATTTTCATTTTATCTCTTCTATTCCTTTTTTTATCTACACTATCTATGTTCCCAAACGCCGATGGGAGGCCTCGAATATTAAGATTTATAAAATAATTTCTGAAATTATACTTAAATGTATAATGATTTAAAATTTATATGATGGATAATTAGTGGACGAACAAATTCTTAAACTCATCATTTACCTGCTACCCACAAAGGATATAATCTTTTACATCTACATTCGCCTACCCCCAATTAAATTTATATATATTTTCACCTTAATTAGAGTGGATGCAACGTGAAATCCATTAAATTATACTTGTATGTCATCTTTAAATATATAATTGTAAAAAGAATAAAAAATTATCTTAATAAAAGATTGTCCACTATTTTTTTAAAAATGTAATAAGTAAAAAGTATAAAGATGATTAGTGGATGTCCATAAGTGCTTGAAACACTTAAATTAAAGCCGGGCTCGGTCACGTTAAAGTCAAGTGGCATAATCGAAAATAAGTCTAAACCGCAGTGGCTTTCTCTTAATGGCAGTCAGTTATAAACCTAAAACTTGCCTGCCTTATTCATTTCCACAGCCCAAAAAGCATGAGACGCTCTGGATTCTCGGTTTCCCTCGCGATTTGCGCGATATTGGCCGTCCAGGTGGCGGTTTCAGCTTCATATCCGACGCTCGATTTCGCCGGCGGCAGCTTCCTCCCGATAAAATCCGAGTGCCGCGGATCCATCGCCGAGTGCCTGATGCAAGGCGGGGAGGACTCGTCCGAGTTCGAAGAAGAGTTCGCCATGGGATCCGAGATCAGCAGACGCATTTTAGCGACGACTCGGTACATTAGCTACGGTGCGCTGAGGAGAAACACGGTGCCTTGCTCGCGACGTGGCGCATCGTACTACAACTGCCGACCTGGAGCTCAGGCAAATCCCTACTCACGCGGCTGCAGTAGGATTACACGCTGTCGGCGGTAGATTTATTTATTTTAAATCCTTTCTAACAATCCTAAAAGCAATAATATTGCTTGATTTTAAATTATGTGTGTTGTTGTAATGTTGATTGGATGAATTGTTGTTCATATATATATTCTGGATCTTTTTTATTAATTTTTTTATAGAAAAATAAGTGACTGGTATAAATTTGAAGAGTAGTGGGTGAATTTATATTATAGATTTAATTTTGTTTTATTTTTTGTGTTGGAATTACTTTTTTATGCCTAATTTTTTTGGTTAGTGAGTTTTTAGATAATTATTTATTTATTTAATTTAATATAATTACGGAATTGGTGTATTCACTTATTAATTCAGATGAAGTATGTAAAAATTTATTATGAAAATAAATTTCAATTCAATTTGAACAATGAATATTGATTAATAAATTTAACGCCTATTCGTTACATCAAAATAAAGTTAATAATGTATTAAAAAAAGGTTAAAAAGTATAATTTTTATTTTTTGATTTTTATATTATTTTTGGGTAAATTGTACAAATAGTTCTCTGACTATTAAAAATTATAAAATAATTATCTGAATATAGGACATTGTTTTGTTAAATTCACTGATTATTAAAAGTTATAAAATGGTCACATAACTATTCGTAAGTTTCAAACTCATCTTTCTCTTTAAAAATTAACAGATGTTTGAGTTAGACGTTAATCTATTAACCATCGTCGTTATTTTCAAGTATTGACTCGACGACATAATATAAACAGATATTCGATTCACATAATATAGCTCAAATAGTTAGGATCAAATTTTATCGCATTCCTAAGTATGTTAATGTCTAACTCAGTCAGTCGTCAAATTTTTAACAGAAAATAACGAGTTTGAAACATATAAATGTGAGATGGTTATTTTGTAAATTTTAATAATCGAAGCTCAAAAAAAGAAATCATCTTATCATCAAGGGATCATTTTATACTTTTCTACAATTAAAAGGCTCAACAAAACAGCGTGAGATCATTTTTGTACTTTACCATATTTTTTAGGTTAAACTACACATTTAGTACCTAAATTATTAATTTTGGTCTGGTTTAGTACATAAACTTTTAATTTTTTTAAAACATACATAATCTTTAGTTTTTGTTTCATTTTAATAACCCACTGTTAAAAGCTTAACGTGTTTAGCACATAAACTATCAATTTTGGTTCATTTTAATACCTAAACATTTATTTTTTCCAAAACTTAACGTTAAATTTTGAACAGAGCACTAAAATGAAACAAAAATTAAACTTTAGGTATGATTTTAAAAAAATTGAAAATTTAAGTACTAAAACAGATCAAAACTAATAGTTTGAGTACTAAATGCGTATTTTGCCCATTTCTGGTTATTTGTTAAAAACAGATACGAGATTTCAATTACAAATTGCACAAAATACAAGTGGAACAGTAACAAAATTCAAGAAGGATAAGATCATTCTTCTTGTGTGTTGTACGACCTCAGACCGATACGGGTGGTTCAATTTCTGTAATGACAACTGGCGGAAGGTAATGAGATCTATTTTCTAAAAGTTTGGTTTATGTTCAATTTAAAATGCATTTGTTTCAGAGCATGTGCTACACGTGCATTCGGTGCTGCAAGCACTTGTCACATCTTTTCTCTGCAAATATTTTTGTGTTGGAGAGAAACTGGTGTGACAGTGCGCATCTTTTGTGCTTCAGCAAGTGGTGTCACTAGGTAAGCTGTGCTTAGTGATATAGAATATGCATAGGAATCTCCCACTGTTGTTTAATGGGAGAGATGTGTGATGTGTCAAACTGAATAAGATTATAGGATTTTGGGAAGAGGATGCTGAAGATCATATGTTGATTGACTTGATTCTTATGCTTGAGAGCTTTGGAGCTGTTGTCTCTTACCTTGCAAAAATGTTAAGATTTTTTGTGCCTTAGTCTTGCCATATAGACAACTCTCTGGTTGAACCATAAAAAATAACACTCCTTGGCCATAATTTTGAGTATTTTCACATTTTAGCGTATTTCTACGAGACATGTTATTCTTTCCTCATTTGTAATGCTTGTTTACAGGTGTGGGCTGTACTGAAACCTGGATTCTTAGCCTTGCTGGTAGATCCTTTTGATGCCAAACCTTTAGATATTATTGTTTTTGATGTATTTACCAGCCTCAGATGGCAATGGTGAGGGTCGGGTATCATTAGCAGAAGAAGTAAAGGAACATAATCCATTACGCCATTCTTTTAAGGTTAGTAGAATACTGCTTTCTGTCCTTTTGGAAAAAACTTACCTGCCGATGGGCATATTATTTTAACATTGTCATGATAAAATTCAAGTTACTGTTGTGGTTCACAATCAATGACCTCTCTTTACCTTATTCTCTCATTGTGATTTGGATTAAGAATATCATATCCCTAACAAAAGAAAAAGAGAAGAAAATAGTTCTTCCAATTAAATTTTTTTAGTGATACTCCTGTCATCGGAAAAGATATTTTAACTTATTTCTATAACCAGATTGATAGACTTTACTCGCGTCACATTTTCATCAAACATTTAGGGCCTAGATAAATATGTGAGAATTTCTCGATACATTTAGGTTTTATTTCTACACATTAAATGAACTACTACTTGTCTCTATGATGATGGGTTAAGTTGTATATCTGATGAATACATCTAGAGAAATTCACTTTCTAACAGATGATTGGGAACTTCAAAAGGTTACATGTGGAGTCCGGAGTATAAGGTTAAGAACGAAAAGTAGTGCTAAAGTTAAAGATTGGGTTGCTGCAATTAATGATGCTGGGCTTAAGCCCCCGGAGGGCTGATGTCATCCTCATCGCTTTGGGTCTTTTGCTCCTCCAAGAGGTTTGACAGAAGATGGTAGTCAGGCGCAATGGTTTATAGATTGTATGGCTGCTTTTGATGCTATAGCTTCATCAATTGAGGATGCTAAATCAGAGGTTTGTGCTTTCTACTATTGCAGGTTGAAATTGGTTGTGTCCCTACTGTTTTTTCTTCTCTTTAGCATAAAGCCTGTTGTATGCTTCGAAAATTAATGCAGATATTTATTTGTGGCTGGTGGCTTTGCCCAGAATTATATCTACGCCGCCCTTTTCATGAGCAGGCATCCTCCAGGCTCGATGCTTTGCTGGAAGCCAAAGCCAAGCAAGGGGTCCAGGTGTTGTAATCTTTGGTTTATTTATTAGAAGATTTATTTTATTAAAAAGTCCATAAATTTGTATTTCTTTTTTTATTAATAAAAATGGATGTTGAGTTTCTGTTTGATAGTTGGAAGACTTTTGCTTTGATTTTGAGCGCATTAAATTCTAAACCTGATTTAACTATTGCATACGTGTACATTCTCTCTCTCTTTTTTTTTTTTTTGTAAATTGTTTCCATTGTGGTGGAGCAAGGTGTTATTGTTAGGCATGTATCTGGAGATGCTAATTTGGAAGCAGATGAACTTGCTAAGTTAGGGATAGGTTAAATAGTTAGTGTCATGCTGTTGCAATGGGCTTGTTTTTAGTTTTCTGGTTGTTCTGGTTGTAATTGGTGTTATTGAACTCCTGGTGTATTTGGTTTCTAGCACTAAAATAATTGAGGCACTCTTTTCCTCCTTCCAGTGTCCATTGAGTTACACATGTAGTTAGATGATTATGAAGGGGTTTTTTTTAACGATTCCTCCTAATTTTATCAAAAAAAAAAATCTTCAGTTCTACTATTTAGATCATTGTCCAATCCTGAGGTGAAAATGTTGAATGTATCTATGACTGCAGATATACATCCTTCTCTACAAAGAACTTGCCCTTGCTTTGAAGATCAACAGTGTCTATAGCAAGAGAAAGCTTCAAAGCATTCATGAGAGTGTGGGGGTATTGTGTTATCGAGATCATTTCTCTGCTGGTGTTTATCTATGGTATGCATTATTTGGCATTTTTCGTTACATTGGATATTTCACTTTGATATATATTTCTTTTACCTGTAGGTCCCACCATGAAAAACTTGTAATTGTTGATTACCAAATTTGTTTTATTGGACTTGATTTATGCTTTGGTCAGTATGACACGTTTGAACACAAGGTGGCTGATAATCCTCCCTTAGTATGGCCTGGAAAAGACTACTATAACCCACGGTAAGCTATTAGCAACCCAAGATTCTCCTTAATTTTTTCATAGACTTGTTTAGAACTTGAATTGCATTCATTTGGCCTTTCATGAAATTGGGATGTTTCAGTTGTCAGTTGTTTTAGGCCTAATTTATCACTATTCTGCTTTAGTGTGCTATTACCAGGAAGACATCATTGCATGTAACTGTTTGGATGTTTTTGGCTGATTTTCATACCTCATCTCTCATAACTTTGAGCTTGTGCATCAATAGATGTTCTCCAACATTTTTCTGAATTCTATTGGTTCAATTTTATGTAAAGAGATCACGAGTTCAAAACCTTCAAGATTTTGTGGCTGCCTATTACTCCCCCTTTCTTCCTTTCTAATCATTCTCTTGAAAAAAGTGTGATATTCATGGTTAGAAGTAATTATGAATTGGTTTGAAGCTGTTGCAGTGTAACAAATGGAACCAATTTCAATTTTACAGGGACTCTGAACCTAATTCATGGGAAGATATAATGAAAGATGAGCTGGATCGAGAAAAATATCCTCGAATGCCTTGGCATGATGTCCATTGTGCACTCTGGGGACCACCTTGTCGTGATGTAGCACGACATTTTGTTCAGCGCTGGAACTATGCCAAGGTCATATTTATTTAGAATTAATATAGTGAACTGGAACAATTCTATAAGTTTGCTATTACATGCACAAAGTCTGGTGTTTTCTTTACCAGAGGAATAAAGCTCTATATGAGGAAGCAATTCCAGTAGTCATGCCTCAGCATCATATGGTGATTCCACATTATATGGGAAGAAGCAAAGAGATTGAAATTGAGAGCAAGAACGATTTGGAAAATACTAACGGCATCCAAAGACGGGATTCATTTTGTTCTGGATCAGCTGTTGAAGATATTCCTCTACTTTTGCCTCAAGAGGCTGAGTTGGATAGTTGCAGTGGGTATCAGAAATTCAGAGCGTTGGACTCCGAAGTGTTTCTTTTGCATTTCGGAAGTCCAAAATAGAACCAGAAGTCGTAGACACGCCCATGAAAGGCTTTGTTGATGACCTTGATTCCTTGGATCTTGTGGAAAGAACTTTGGATGCAAAAAGGCAGCCTGGAAGCAAAGCTGCAGACCCAAAGTGGTGGGAAACACAGGAACGAGGTGATCAAGTCGGTTTTGTAAATGAAGCCGAACAGGTCGGTCCCCGAATTTCATGTCGTTGTCAGGTAGGTTGTATTCTCCTCAAGACTTTTGCCAGTTTTGCATCTGGCTTCGAATATTCATTTATATTTTGTTACTTTGATATCCCAATTTTTCAGTCTTATTTCATTCGTAAATAAAAAAAAATTCATTAAAAGGAAGTAGTGTCTCTGGTCATGATTTTGATTCAAGCCATCAGTACCTGTGCTTTTGCAGCTATGAATCTCTTCTGTGCCAAATAAGCTTTAACTTTCACTAATAAAAGGAAGTCTATCATTTATCCGCCGCAGTCTGCAGTTAGTTTGGGCTGGCTGCAATTATGATGGAACATGATCTGTTACTTCTATTGTTCAGTTTAACTTTCTTTTTCATATAAAGAGAGATTTTTCAACTTATTAAGTGGTGTTAACTGGTGATGAACTCTAATATTCTGATTATAAGAAGTGTCTGTCAGTGGTCTGCTGGAACCAGCCAAATAGAAGAGAGCATTCACTGTGCTTATTGTTCCCTCATTGAGAAAGCGGAACACTTTGTTTACGTAGAGGTAAGTTTTGATTTCTCGATATTTTATTTTCAGTTCTCTATGAATCATGTAATTACATATGGTTTACACTCATATTGCTTCATTCTTTGCAGAACCAATTTTTTATATCAGGCCTCTCTGGGGATGAAATTATTCGGAATCGTGTCTTAGAAGCATTATACCGGCGTATTATGCGTGCTTTACAATGATCAGAAATGTTTCAGGGTTATTATCGTCATACCACTCCTTCCTGGTTTCCAGGTTGTACATTTTGGCCACTTCTTTTATTATTTATGTATTTGAACTTTGGAGTTCAGATAATAGTATTATGTTGGAACTGAGTTTTAAGTTTTGACAGGGTGGGCTTGATGACGCTGGTGCTGCATCTGTGAGAACCATAATGCATTGGCAGTACCGAACCATTTGCAGAGGGCAGAATTCAATATTGCATAAACTTTATGAAGTTCTTGGTCCTAAAACTCGTGATTACATATCTTTCTATGGCCTTAGATCGTATGGTCAACTTTCCGATCATGGTCCTGTGGCTACAAGTCCGGTATGTTCTTGCACTAATAGTAATATGTTATCTTGCTTATCATGTTGCAGCCTCTACGCAGTTTTCTTTTCCGTGGAATTATATCATGTCATAGTAAATAACAACGAAAGTTTAACCTGTAGCATGTGCATGTTTGATGATATATTTGTGCCTACTATTTTTCCAGGTATATGTGCATAGCAAAATCATGTTAATTGATGACTCTGCAGCCTTAGTTGGATCTGCTAATATCAATGACAGAAGTTTACTCGGCTCTAGAGATTCAGAGGTACCACTGCATTTCCGGATTAGTTGATTTATGGACGAAATACTTCCACCATCTTTTTTCTCTTTGTCAAAAACATAACAGATACTGTGTTAATCTCCACGAAATTTGATGTCGGTGAACATTCAGATTGGCTTGTTTATCGAAGACAAAGAATTTGTTGATTCACGGATGGGAGGAAACCCATGGAAGGCTGGAAAATTCGCATCGAGTCTGCGCCTCTCATTATGGTCTGAACATCTCGGTCTTCGAAAAGGAGAGGTTTGATACCCCCCATCAATTCTTTTTCCTAATTTACATTCATATTCAGCTGATATATTTGTTCTTCCTTTTCACCTCAGATGAATCAAATAATCAATCCCATTAGCGATTCAAGTTATAGAGACGCATGGGCTGCTACTGCAAAGGTAAGAACTGGATTTGTATGTTTCTTCAGTACTTTCATATTTTATATTCTGGAATGCTCGGATTAAAAGGAATCCGATGATACCATGATCTAAGAACCCATGTTAATTGGACTCGGATATGAGCGTCGGAGTAGAGGACGTACTTACAATTTGCGCAATGACCTGATGCATCCAAATTATGAAACAGATGAATGCAACAATCTACCAGGATGTCTTTTCTTGTGTCCCAAGTGATCTCGTACATTCCCGGTACGACTACATCATCTTTCTCACCTTTTCTCTTTGGTTATTATATTCCCGACACTTGACTCGATGGGCGTTAATCTGCAGGCTTGCGCTCCGACAAAACATCACCTTTTGGAAGGAAAGACTTGGTCACACTTGACTCGATCATCGACTACTGTTATATCATCTCTTGGATCTTCATCTCGAGACTTCTCGCTTCATCTCCGCCAGGTTGAGCCTAGCTTTCTCCTTTACGAGTTCGACTTCCCCATCGTACATTCTTCTGTTTTGATACTTTTATTTTGGTAGACCTGGCAATTTGTGTAGTTGTACAATATATGTATACTTGAGGCATACGTGAACTTATGTACATCATATCAAAGTTAATAGAAAAATCAATGGTAAGTCCACAAAATTAATTTAATTTTACGTAAATAAATGGAAAGACAATATAAGATGAGAGCGATTTTTATATTACATAATATTTTTCTATAAAATTTAATTAGAAATGATCATCCAGCTCAGTTGGTAGAACATAATGTTCTTAATCTTGAGGTCGTGGGATCGAGTCCTATGGAAGGTATTTCATAATTCGGAAGTCTCCTACGGAAGTTGCTCTCAACATAGTGTTGGGGACAACCTACTATCTTACCTCCCCTTTACATATGGGAACAAGGGACATCCATTTTATAAAATTTAATTAATTACCTACCTTCCTAAAAAAAAACCTTTATGGCCTAGTATAGATATATATTATCATTGAATCTTGATCAAGTTGGTAGTGTAATGTGTTTATATTTTTTTTGGTAAAGATGGTATTATTAAAAGAAAAATTATATACCGGAAGAGTTATGGGCGTCCCGTTAAAAATCTCTCTAGTTTTAGATAGAGGGAAAGAGTACACCTATAAATCTTAAAAAAAAATTACATCAAGATATTAAGTCGAGCCATCATGTAGCGTATCATCATATCAAAATTAAAATATTATTATTATTTTATTAATTTAAAATAAAATAATAGTTATTTATAAATAACTCTTATCCGTTTGATATTAAACATTTGTATTCCTAATATTCTTGATATTAGAATCAACATTTTAAAGAATAGCGAGACTAAAAAATCCTATATATCCATTCTCGCAACATATGCTTACCGGCCTACAGTTCCCCATGACCAGTTCGCTATCTCGATCTGTACCCCTGTCAATTCCATCAACGCGCTCTCACATTCGTGCTTTTACCTTACGCCCCACCGTGTCTGTCCCGATCGCTTTCTCGACTTCAACCTCTCCTACTATCCACCGTAGATACCTCCGGATACCTTCTCCGATAATGAACTCCAACACGAAACTCGCCGCGACTCAACTGGAGCAACTCGACGAGTTATCCGATTTCGAAAAGCTTCTCTCACCGAGTGGTCACATCTCTATCTGCGGCTTCGGTTCCCTCCTCTCTGGTAGGTATAGATAGCTAAGCTTCCAACTTGATCTTATTGATGATCATCGCGATTCATTGATCATCTCTTGATTGAGAGCAGAAAGGAGCGCGCGGAGTACGTTCCCAAATCTATTAAACTTCAGAGTAGCGAAATTGAAAGGATTTAGGCGTGTCTTCGCTCACGTCGCTCCAATTTTCTTTGACCGTGGCATCGCCAAGCCAGAAACTAAGGTTATGTTTGGATACTGAGAATTCAATGGGAAAGAATAGCCGTTTCCTACTTATTTGGAAAGTTGATTTGAAAATGTTCTTTTCCTCTTATGTTTTAAGATGAATTTATGTTTTTTTTAATTTCAGGAGATATCAAGCTTAAGTGTAGAACCTTGTGAAGGAGAGACTCTAATCGTTACTGTTTTTGAGATTAAAAAATCAGAGGTATTGCTTTTCTATTTCAAAATTTTGGAATTGAGTTAAATATTTCAACTTTTACTTGATATGCTTCTATTGCTTTGTAAAATTAGATTCCAGCTTTCATTGAAAGAGAACTCGAGTTCCGTTTTCTAGCTGTAAGTTTCTTCCTACTTGATTTCCTGCTAATTGGCTATCCATTTATTGCTTTTGTGGATATTCAGGATTGATTTGTTTGTTTTATAGGTCTTGCCTGAAACACTTGATGGAGAGCCGTTTGCCAATCCAGCCGTATGTGAAATTTGATTAACTTACCTTTTCTCGTCGCTTATTTTGCTCGGACTCTTTATTTTTAAAAGATTTTTTATTCGAACACTCGCACATGTAATATAAACCGACTTGATTATGGAGATATGATCTTCCAAATACATTGGAAGTTTTAGAAAAATTGAACATATCATGTCACACATTTGCCAGTATTTGACACTCACAGACAGACACCCGAGTTCAAGTAACATATCTTGGGCCTTTCTTCTCAAAGGGTCGTAATTTTTCGTTTATATTTGCTTGGAATATCGATGCAGGTTCTTTGTGGCCGTTACAGTGATGAGGAATTCTTTCAAATTAGATGCAAAGGTTAGGGTTCTTGTGACTTTGGGGTTCTGAGTGAAAGAAATTATGATTTTTGTTAGTTGTTGATGTTGCTTCATTCATTGTACTTGTAACAAAAGCTTATGCCTTCCGTGCAGGAAGAAAGGACATTTATTTCCAGCATTATGGTCGTTGCAATATCGAGAAGATTTGGCGAGATGATATCTTGCCATGCCGTGTATATCTTCGACACTGGTATGCACTGATTTTCTGTTTGATGCACGTCTCATGCTGTAGTCCTACAGCATATGTATCTAGCTATGTATCCGAGACTCTCACACGAATACGAGTAGCATATGCATAAAGCATATGAAGAATGCATAAAACTTCCCTTCTAGATTCGAAGTTTTTAATAAGCTATCAAATTCGACTCTTCATATCTGCATTTCTTTGTGGTTTGATATATTCTTGCCCTGCCGTGCATATCTTCAACACTGGTATGTACTAATCTTATGTTCGATACACGTCTCATGCTGTAGTCCTACATCATATGTATCAAGCTATGTTGCTCCCACTCTTCATTTTCCTCAAGTATTTGTATCTGACACCGACATCCGATACTTTCACACGAATACGAGTAGCGCATGCATTAAGCATATGAAGAACGCATAACACTTTCCTTCTAGATTCGAAGTCGTTAATAAGCTATCAGATTCGACTTTTTCAATTCTGTATTTCTGTGTGGTTTGATACTTTGATCTGTGTATCTCTTCAAATGGTAAAATTTAAGAAGATATTAATGGATTCCCAATGCCAACCGAGTTTTCTACTTGGGCTAACAATTATTTCGGTTAAACCGAGTAACAGATTTGTTGTACTTCAGTGTATTGGCAGCTAAGAATCTAGGTGATATTGCTTACAACAACTTTCTGGATCATACTTTCCTCGGAGACCGAACGACCACCATCCGGACGTATTTGTCGACTACGGGTTCCGGGATCATGGAAGAGGAGCCTCCAGAATCTCTGAAGTCTCGCTACGGCGGCTGATATTATAGGCAAATTGACAGGTTATCCTCTTGATGTTTCTATTGTTAACCATATTTCGAGGTCTGGTTGATAGAGGAGCCAAAACGAGAATGGTTGCCATTTTCAACTGGCCTAAAGAGACAGCTTGGAGGGTTTATCTCAAGAATTTTAATTTTCAAATAAAAACACCATTATTGTGCTATTTTAATAATATTACTTTATATTAAATATTAAAATAAGTATCTTTTTATGAATGGTTAAATATTGTAATAATTAGTTTGTTAAATTTTGAGACATCCAAAGTTTAAATCCTCCGTTGAGAGAGATGAGTAGGCCGAGCTCTTCAATGTTTGAATGTTAGGCCTTTAAACGAATCGAACTGTTCAGTGGAAAGTTCATTCATGTTCGTTTATTTATTAAATGAACGAATATAAACAATGTTTTATGTTCATTTAATTAAATGAACGAACACGAACAAATTACTCATTTGTTTGTTTATGTTCGTGAACGTTCGATAATCTTTTCGTTTATGTTCGATTATTTATGTTTGTTAATTTATGTTCATGTTCTCCGGATCTTTTGAAATATTAAGACTTAATAAATTTTAACCTTAAATACATTAATATTTTTAAACTCAATTAATTTTAAACTCAAAATAAAAATACTCAAATTAATTAAAGAAAATATAAATCTTAAAATTATTTGAAAATAAAAAATCAATTCTCAAATTTAAATCAAATAATTTTATGTCCGTGCATTTACGTTTATTTATTTGTATTTATTTCATTTAAATGAACGAACATGAACGAACGTAAACAAACTATGTTTACTAAATTTTTTACTGAACGAATACAAACAAAATAATTTTATTCAATTAGTTGTTAATATTAGTTTGTTTGTTCAGTTTATTATAGGAATGTGTGTGCATCAACCAGTAAGGTTGGGACTGGTGTAGAATCGATTTCCATGTTTAGAGCATAAAATGACGCGTGGACTTGATAAATTTGGTTAAATTGGTCTATAATCTTTATATATATATATATACTTTTTAGTCTTGGGTTGGGGGGTTGGGGTCAGCTTAGTCCTTATTTTTTAGGGTAAATTTGGTCAAATTAGTCCTTGGGCTTTTCTGTGTCAAATTGGTCCCTAAATTTGTAAATTGTTATAAATAATGGGTAAAAAGTCATCAAAGGTCCATATACTTTTGTAAAAAAACCACTGTAGCCCTCATATTATTATTTTCTCTGAATGTTGCCCTTCAACTTAGAAATCGAATTTAATATAACCCTTTGACCAACGTTTTTTCTCGTTTGACAGTTAAAACGGTGCTGACATGACAAGTTACAGTGCTGACGTGATAGTTCATGATACTAATTTCTCTTTAAAATATTTGAAATTTGGATAGAAATCGAAAGATCAATACAATTGATTAAATCAGCACTTACATTTCGAATTTTGTCATTTACAAGTCTCAGATTTCTTAAATAGACTACAAACGTGAAAAACAGCACTGTAATTCCTTCAATCTTATAAAACATCAAAGCCACAATCCTTATCCTTTTCAAGTTCAACAATTAGCAATTCCATCATTTTCTTATACATGGGCATATAATGATCATTAATCATGGTTCTCGATAGCCGGATCTTACTATACAGTTCCCTAGGTGTTTCGTATATGCGAACCGGACCCTTCCCGGACCCATCAACGTTTTGGTCATCATCTAGGTCAACAGCATCCGACAGAGGTGTGGCAACGATATGCTTAATTCTACCTGGGGGATAGAATCGGAGGTTCTCAGAGGCATCTGGGGAAGAAATGGGACTTCTACTTCCTGAGGATGCATCGGCTGCGAGCACATTCTCCTGCTCCATAATTTCTTTTGCCACGGCAGCTTCTTCTGAGCAGGCATGAAGATCAACTTCACTCTCCCGCCTCTTAAGCTCTTTCTCGAGTTCATACCACAACTCGCCGCCTGCAATTTCATCTGTGGTAGATGTAGTAATAACTCTATCCATAGCAATCAGGGGTTCATCTTCATCGGTGTCATCATGGCCTGAACCACCACCGGAACTACATTCCACTTTGGTTTCATTTATTGTGACCACTTCTGTCACTAGAGCTTCAGAACTTTCAGATGTCATCGAAGCTTCAATTAATCCAGAACTCACATTCCGACGACGGGGACCGATGCAATACCATGAAGTTAGAGATGAGCGGCTTCTTACAACAGCTTGAGCAACATTTTGAGCACCTTTCATGACAACCTATAGTTTTAAAGAGAAAGGAATTCACCCAAAAACTGACTGAAATTAGGGGTTGATCATAATTTGGTTCTGTTTTAATACACATATTTATCGAGGGGGAAAAACATTGAATCATCTAAAACCTAATTTAAAAATAAAAATTTATTTTCAGATTATAAAAATCAATGCAGTTTGAATTGAATAATTATGATTTTTAATTGATTAATCGAAAATCAAACCAAATATATATATATTTTTTTTATAGGAAAACCAAATATATTTAGTCATTACTTAAATCATAATCAGACTATACTAAAAAACTGTGCATTTGTGAAATGCTCTGTAGATTGTTATCGGCTTTACCTTTGTGCTGCTAGAAACAGGTCGAAGAAGAGCACCAGCACCAGCGACCCTGGCTTTTGCAGTAGCCATCGAGGGAAGACGTGAACCCAAAGCAGTGGCAGAACGATAAACAACATTAAGAACCCTGGTTCGTTCAACTTGATCCCTCAAATCATTTAACCATGATGATGCTGTAACCTGATGATAACAAATTTTGAAGGTAAGGAAGTACAATAATTGGGTAAGCTTATTCGGATTTAAGGGTAAATGTCATACACAAATATGTGTCTGACGCAGGTATGATCAGATTTTTTAAGTTTTTAATGTATTTGGAGAATTCTTGGAGCCCATATAGTTGTATCTATGTGTTGAACATGAGTATTGGTCACAGATACTTCAGAAAAAATTTTAAAAAAATGGATTACAACCATTAAAAACATTATTCGCATTTTGTTCCAGTGATGAGGAAGTGAAAAGTACCTCAGTGCGAAGGTCATCAACTGAAGCAGCAGAGAATGTAGGCACTAAATCAGAGCCGTTGATGATAGTTGTAATGAAGTGCTTGCCTGATTCTGCTAAATCCCATGTCATACAGGCAGCTGCAACGTTAAAACTTTAAGTGTTTAGAAAGTAGTGCAATCAATTTCTTTTAAAGAAGAAGAAAAAGCCTCATCAACCATATATTAAAACAAAACCTCTGTTACAGGCCAAATCTATGGAAGGAAAGGCCCTTAATTTGAGTTATTTAATTAAGGAAAGAAATAAAAGAGTAACCCAAGCCTTAATTAAATAACCCAAATTAAGGGCCTTTCCTAACATAGATTTGCCCCGTAACAACCTTTCACTAAAAGCAAAAAGCATATGTTACTTGGAATAGAGCACGAGTGTTGGACGAGCATGCATATTAATATAGACATGTTCTGTTTTTGATAAATAGCTTATTATAGAGAATGAGGATTTACATCAACGGGACATCTATAATAAATACGAAACATTTAATATGTTAAATTGTTTACCAGGGGCAAATGTAAAACAAGTGCCGGAGGCAAACTCTTTACGTTCCCGAAGAATGTATGTTAACAATGCTGCTGTTCCACCTCCAAGAGAATGCCCGACGATCTAACAATGAAAGAAAATATTAGATAAACAGATGTAAATATAGGCTTGCAAAATATTTTCAATCATCATATCACAAAAGTATATAATTTCAACAAAAAGTAAGAAAACAACAACTAAATTCAATAAGGCCAGACATCAAGGAACCAAAAAAAAATCAACAATTAGGCATCAACAAAATATACATGATCTAGTTGAGAAGAAAAGTTAGACCAATTAGACTTCGGTTCCTAGTTTTTATTCATTGAATAAAGTTAAAAACAAAACAGTTAGCAATTACCTTAACTTTGTAGTCAGAATATTCACCAAGAGCCTTGAGTAGGCAAGGAGCAGTGAGCTTTGCAATCCAACGAGCTGCTGCAACCATTCCACAGTGTGCATATCCTAAGACGAGGTTGCTAATCCCACCATCATCTAAAACCGAATGGTGGAAAGGCACTACTGCACCGGTTGCTGCTGTTAGTGTATCTTTAATGCTGTGAGTGCCACGAATCAATAGAAGGAAACACTTCGAATTTTTATCACGTATGATTGTGAAAGCTGGTTTCATGAGCTGCAACAATTATTTCAAATTAGTTGAAACTGATGGGAAAAAAAACAGTTACTGAACAACTATCCACAGAAACATAAAATCCAAGTATGTTAAATTCAAACGAGGATGCTAATCATTGTTACTCAAACTTGAGGTGTGTCATGTGCGTGCCGAATACAAGTACGTTTCAAACACAGGTATGTTAGTTTTTTCCCAAGTTTTTCATGTATTTAAACAATTCTTGAAGGGTCATATGATATGGATAATTATAAGATATGAGTGTCAGATATGGTACTTCAATATAATAAAGGGTCAAAGCAACATAGTTGTTAACCATCAAAGAGCTAGGCCAAAAATCTCTAATACTATTTTGACTTTGGTAAAAGTTAAAGCATTTCCACCTAGACAAGGAAAAGGAGTTTCGTGTGGATACTCAAGCCTACATCAACAACAACAAGAGATGCTCCCTTGGTTCTTAAGGTCCTTTACATAAGTTTGATGAAAATGGGTAATCTTTTACAGTGAATTCTGATTCTTTCCCCACAACCAAGCCTTGTTAGCTATATGTTCCCTTGTGCTTAAGGTAAGATCTTCATTCAGTATTCCTATTTGATATCATAAGCTATGTTAGCCCAGATTATTTAAAAAAAAATAGTCATATCTAAGACATGAATCGAGTATGAGATATGGTCATCCAAATATATGAAAAACTTTTAGAACATTGATCATATCCATACCTGATATTTACCCAAATCCGAGTGACAGAAATCAAGAACATTCAGTGTCTAGACCATCAATAAACTATTCAATGATAAGACTTCACAGAATCTATTAAGAACTGGGAAGTGACAAAACAAACAAATAATATGAGTACAGCACAATATGTACCTGATGAACAAGAATTTTTAACAAAACTAAGACATCGAGTACAGCAGAACAGGATAAGAAAAAGTTTTTTTAACG